GGTCCTCTAGAAATCTCCCGCTAAGGGCACATAGCAAATTCTGCACATCCACCAAATACAAGGTTAAGAAAAGAAAAGGATTTGAGACAGTTGGTCTCCCTGTCTCCAGTCTTTTATCATTACCAGTAAGGCTGTCATACTTGTGCAGGTAAGGGTTCATCAAAATTCTTAACGGTCTTTCACAAAATTCACTATGAGATACCAACATATTTAATTCTATCACATTTGCCAGCAGAAAAAATGACTGTTTATACAAAGCAACATAAAAAGCACAGCCATTAGCATTTATCAATGGAAAACACAAGCTGCCGAACTAGAATTTTTATTTCTTTGTTACTTTTTCATCATACAAGAAAAATCTAAAATTGTGGACTTTCTAATCATTAATATTTGTCTGGAAATTGGGTAAGAAAAACACTAAATTATTCAATTATAGTAATGGAAACTCCCAATCCAGCTTGCTGAATCATGGGAACATGATTTGACAATTACTCCTCTGAAATACAGCTTTTACCAAGTTATTCTTCAGCTCAAATGAATGACTCTTTGGTGCCTTCAAATAAAGTAGAACCTCTCAGCATGTCATTTAAAACCATCTGTAATTTACTCTGATGCCACCTTCCTTTCCGCTATCATTTTTCATCACAATCTGATAGGCCCGCTATGCTCCAGCTCTATCAGATTACACCAGAGCCCCATTTTATGAAGGTGTTAGTTTCTAAAATCATTGCAAAAGGCAAAGTTTGCCTTTGGTCGAGATTATCCTTGAAAACACCTTAGCAAAATGGTAGATAGTTTCTCTGTAAATTGAACAGTAGGCAGTTTTACCTCCAGTGACAGAGCAGACTAACTGAACACAAGATAAAGTACACACAGTATCTTTAAACATTAGAAACACCATGTGGGAAGAGGTTCTCTATAAATACGTGTGATGAAACTGAGAGCAACATAGAAAGCAGCAGATTCACTTCTCCCAGCTCTCACTCACCCTGGGGTATGCACTCAAAGAGTGAAATTGTGAGCAACATTCACCACTCACTGCTATTATTCAAATTAATTTTTCTTGTTCCTCTCTCCCTCTCCATTTTGGAGGGGGTAGTCCTGAGTAAAATTCCACTCTGCCTTGTGTTTTCATTTTTCTACTGTGCTATTCTCTCTAAAACTAATGTTTATTGAACACCTACTAATATGAGGCTCTGTGCTAGATGCTATATTTAAATTGTAAGCTATTCAAGAATGATGACCAGGATATAGTCTTAAATGTTATTCTTCCCTTGACCCTACTCCCAAGAAACAACAATGTTTAGGACATGGCTGGAGATTCATAAATGTCTTCTTAATGAGGACATTAACTGAAATAGGCCAGGAACAGAAAGTTAAACGCTGCATATTCTCACTCTATGTAACAAGTTGATCTCATAGAAGAGTAGAATAGAAGTTACTAGACGACGGGAAGCATAGGGGGAAGGGAAGGACAGGCAGATATTTGTTAAAGGACACAAAATTACAGCTAGATAGGAGGAATAATTCTAGTGTTCTATAGCACCGTAGGATGACTATAGTTAACAATACATATTTTCAAA